AATTTCATTTTCAAAATAATAGTACCACAGTTAAAAAGCTGTAAAATATTTTGTTTAATTCTTTTGCTTTATTTCTTTGTACTAGCTATACCAAAACTATCTTTCTTGCTTTTTTTTAATGTATGCCTCAATTGACAAGGATTTACAAGATTTTTTGGTTTTTCGCAAGAATTTCATATCTAAAATTCAATTATATCAAATACTTTTAGTTTTATCACTTTGACTATCGTGTTCGACGTATCACCAGTTCCTTGTGCGAACGTCAATCGCCAAATAAAACGCAGCGCTAGATCTTGTTTGATCTTTGTGCACCAACATTAAGTCTTAGAGGAATCTACGTGGATGTCATGCTTACGGCTGCACGCTTAAGGGTTCACGAGGTTATTAAGGAACTCGTGGCCTGGCATAAACTCTCGTGATTTCCACTCAAAATAGTACATCTTCCACGTGACAGTCGAGAACCGCAGTGAAAAGGTCTTCAACCTGATTTACCAGACGAGCGATCTCAAACATCAGTACTCGAATTCCATTAGCATCCATCGAATCCAAGTATTAATGCTTGAGGTCGCTCGTCTGGTAAATCAGGTTGAAGACCTTTTCACTGCGGTTCTCGACCGCCACGTGAAAGATGTACTGTTTTGAGTGGAAATCACGAGAGTATATGGCAGGCCACGAGTTCCTCGATAACCTCATGAACCCCTAAGCGTGCAGCCGTAAGCATGACGTCCACGTAGATTTCTCTAAGGCTCTATATTGGTACACAAAGATCTAGCGTTGCGTTTTATGGGATCTTCGCACAAGGAACTGGTGATATGTCGAACACGATAGTCAAAGTGATGAAACTAAAAGTATTATGACCGAGTTTTAAATATGAAATTCTTGCGAAAACTAAAAAGTCTTGTAAATTCTTGTCAATTGAGCTATTCATTAAGAAAAATGATTTTGGTGTAGATAGTAGTACATAGGAATAAAGCAAAAAGAATTAAACAAAATATCTTGCAGCTTTTGAACTATGACATTATTATTTAAAAAATACAAATAGGGTAAACATTGTATGAAAAGTTTCACAATGCAAAGATTTATCATCTCATCACATTATTATTACATGACTATAATTGAATACCTTCTGTAACAAAAAAATTAAAACAAAGTCATAGAGAACTATTTTTTTTCTAATCATTTGAAATCAATCATTTCATTTCTTATATATAAATTTGCACACAAAATCACTATTATACAATGTTCTTCGAAAATTCAATGAATCCAACACGAACTTTCAACATAGTTTAACCTCTTCAAATGCAGCGCGAGTTGTAGTGGTTTGAAGTACGTGATTGACATGAATTTTCTTCGTTTTTGTACGTATATACGTAGAATTATATATGTTAAATTGATTGCACATTTGTGTTCGATTGATCTTAATAGGAAGTGAAGAAATTTGTCCACCATATTCACGCGAACGAATGAACAATTTTGAAAAAACACTCAAGACGATATTCACGGACGAGCACAAGGAAATAAAAGCCGAAGGTGAAAAATCGATGAAGGGCACAACCAACTCGGGCAGAATTGCCGCCACATTGATTGCCACAGTCGTATTCGTTGCTGCTATCATGGTCCTTAGCGGGAACGCGTCTAATGGCTTCCGTTTCTTGTCCACTAAAGCCGCCTTCATAATATCTGCGGTCTCAGATTTCATCTCTCTTCACGTCCACACTTCTCTGATGATGTTCTTGTCTATTCTGACCTCGCGGTATGCGGAGGAAGATTTCTTTTACGCGTTGCCCAAGAGGCTTTGCATTGAGCTCACCACACTTTTCATGTCCATCTTGTTTATGATGGTGGCTTTTAGTGCCACTATTTTTATTGTTTTCAGTCAGGAAAAGGTTTGGATACGCATACCGGTGGCTGCTCTCTCGCGACCTCTTTCGTGATCTTCAATTCCGGTTGCTTGTGGATCTTATTCTAATACATACAGTCATGGCATTTTTTGACAAGCAGAGTAACCGCTTCTTCTACTGATTGATTAAAAATCCAGAGTTATAGCTGTGTTTTGTACATATCAAATTTTTAAGTGTCGAAAAACCGAGCCTTTTTCGCAAAATTGCTAAAGTTGAAGGACTAAAATACTAAATGCCGTGTCACTGTATAGTTTTTTTTTGGCATGCTTACTTACCAGAAATTGACATCGTTAAAGCTGACGATGGTTTTTTCTACCCACAATTGCGCGAAGGACCAATTTGAGACGATTGTGGTGATATCTTTGTTCGAAACTCCAAGAATGAGTGATATATGGCTGCCCTTTAGTGCTTCGAGAATTTCTTGGTTTGGCTTGTAAATTTGCATTCGTTTGATGTTGTGTTTGTTGCAAAGCACGACTATTTCTTTCGCGTGTGGTAGCTTTCGAGTTTTAGTTCCGAAGATGACTCCTACTTGAGCATCTGCACATGTTTAGACATGAAACCTTAATTCGTCCCAAGTTAAATCAGTTCTTCTCATAACTGATTGCAAAAGTTTCATCAATATATGCAAGATGTGAAGAGATGTTTATTTAAAAACAGAAAAAAGGAAAACCTGATGGGTCAATGCAAAGAAGTAACAGAGCAACTAGCTCTATAAGTACAGCAGATGATAAAAACTTGAATTGGTCATATCCTCTTATACTAACTGTGTTGTCAACCTACTGCTCGCCTAGCACTTAAAGATCGTTCGAACTCTTCACAAGAAAATATTTCAGCCAACATCTCCTTCACATGTCATGAGCTCGAAACAACCAACCCAAGCTAATGTGTACAAATCCGACCCATCAAACTTCCTCCCGAGCTAACAAACATATTATTTATTTTTGGTACAATTCAATAGAGATGACCAAGGGGAATAGGAAAGAGTACAAGATTAGGAAAATCTCGATATCCTTAAGATTTTATTTTATTTTATTTTTATTCAGTCTAAAAGGTAACTTGAAGAAAGAAAAAAAAAAAGCTATAAAGAAGGCTTTACAAGTACTATTTAAGATTATTATTATTCATATCATAATATGTACGAAAATCTTAGTTTATTTCACTTATGTCATTTTATTTTCTATTATAGTTTTTAAAATAAAATCAATCATTACTACACAATTTAATATGAAATTTGTAATTACATGTTATTCTTCTATTATTTTCTACATTACATTGAGCTTATTTATTATATTTTTAATTTATAATCAAATACTCTTTGTAAATTATCAGTTTTCTTCACCAAACTTCTTTTCTCTATCCAAATTAATATTTTTCCATAAAATATAATTACCAAGTGTGAATGTTCCGTATTTTAAGAAGGAAACAAAAAAAAAAAAAAAATTGATTATTTTGCAAGAAAAAAAAAAGGTTTTCATGTTTAAGTGATTAATTGATAAAGGTCAACCATTCAAGTTGACAAATGAGGTGCTGACGGACAAAATTCTTAAACGAGATAAATTCAAACCATCTCAATAGAAATTAGATAAATAATTATAGTTGAAAAAAGGGGAAAAATAATTCTCCAAGATACTCAAACGGGCAGTATCTAGGCGTCTAAACGAGTCAAACAAAGGTCGAGCCCCCTTAATGGACCGAGCAAGCGAATTGGGGTAAATTACACCAAATTCCCCTGTATTATACTAAATCTGTGATTTATCCCCCTGTAATTTAAAAATTGCGTCAAACCCACTTGTAATGTACTTTTGCATGCACGAAACACCCTAAACCGTCAAAGATGACGGAAGTAGAGTGCACGCGCGTGCTATGTGACTCCTTCATTTTTTGGCCACAAATATTCTTTTTACTACTATAAATAGGCCCAGATGTAAATAATTGGACCCCACTTTAATATAACAATTATTATATATGATATATTATATATTATATATATATGATATTATAATGATTATTATAACATATATATTATATAATATATAACGATTATTATATATTATTATAATATATATTATATTATATATAATATATATTATATTATAATGATTATTTTAAAATATATATTATTATATAATATATCATATATTATATAATATATTATATAATATAAAATAATATATAATATATATTAATATATTATATATAATATATATATTATATATATTAACCGTTATTTATATATATATATACGTTATTTATATATAAATTATATATAAATACGTTATATATATACAGTTATTATATATATATAATATATATACGTTATATAAATACGTTATATATAAATAATATATATGTTATATATATGTATGTTATTTTCTTTATATATAATTTAGAATATATATATTATTTGACAGTAATGGCATAATAGTAAATTCAGTGATAAAGTAATGGCATAATGGTAAATTCAGTGATAAAATAAAGGTATAATGACATAATGGTAAATTCAGCGATAAAGTAAGGGTATAATGGTAAATTTGACGAAAAAAGTAACACCGTCAGTAGTAAAGTAACGGTGTTAACATCAAAGGGCGAGTATGCAGGCAAATATATAATAGAAGGGAGTTTGACGCAATTTCTAAATTACGAGGGGAAAACGCGCAGATTTAGTATATTACAGGGGAGTTTGGTGCAATTTACCCAAGCGAATTGTGTTAAAAAATCAGGTAATTACTTAAACCGTTAAACATTCCTATTTTTCAACGAGCCTAAAACGAGCTAGAGCCTTAGTGGACCGAGTCAAGCTCACAAGCGGCTAATCAGCCCTAGTTAATTAACAAGTAACAAGATAAGCAAAATAAAAAATGTGTTCTTTCATACATGTAATCTTTCCACAAAATAGTAATACTAAGCATGGCAGAATTTATCCATTACATATCTGCAAAAAGGTCCACATTGCTATAAACACCCCCAAATAGAGTAAAACTTCAAAAGAATCTCCTTACCTTTGTTGTATTCGTATACCTAAGTCGACAAAAAATCATCAAGAGTCGAAATTATAACATCAAATGATAGCATGCGACAAAAGCTGACCAAAAGCCCTCAACGAGACTTCTTTGCAAACTTTGGGTTTTTGCACATGCGGATGCTCGAGGGAGTAACTTCAACAAGTTCATCTTCTTGAATGTACTCTATGCAATCATCCAGACTGTAATCCAATGGAGTATCAAGAACAACTGCATTCACAGCAGAGAACACGGTCGATAGAATACTCGATGTAACAAACTCAGAACAATTAAACTCGGTTTTGCTCACTATTTTAATTTGTATAATAGCAAAAACTACCCATACGTTTAGCATAACCACCAAAAAAAAAAAACAAGTTATCATTTATTAGATTACAAATTACCCTTTTCAGTACATATTTGCTTGCAAACCATTTATAAGATATTTGACAAGGTAGTTCTGTTTTGTTACCTGTTTGTTCCTTGTTCGAACGGATGTTCGTGGCAGCTTTTTTCTTGCAAACGTTCAAGGACAAGTCGCCGGGGCGCTGATGAATACCGACTATTTGACCTTTATAAACATCGATTCCAGGCGAAATGAACATCTGCCCTCTTTCTTGTGAACTCGAGAGTGCGTAAGAGGTACTTGTTCCATCCTCAAAAGCAACCTTACAAGTAGTAAAAAATGGTAATTATTCACAATTTTTCCAAAAAAAA